CAGCTGGCCCCTAACCAGGCCTAGAGTCAAAGGCTATTGCTACCCCATTGATCTCACATGTCTGCCCAGGTCACAAAGGGGCTTGGAACCAAAGTTCCAGCTAATAGTGATTGTGTCTTTCACCGGGATGCCCTCTGTTAGAGGTTCAATGATGTCTCCCTAAAAATATTAATGCCCTCACCCTCAGGATCTGTGAATGTGACCTTATCTGGAAATAGAGTTTCACCAGTAATAAAGTTGAGGTCAGTGCATTGGGCCCTAATGCAATATGACTGTTTTCCCTGTAAAAAGGGAAAGTCTGAACACAGAGACAGATGCCACAAAGGGAAGATGAAAGAGCAGGGTGATGCATCAACCAGACAAAGAACACCAAAGGCTGCCGGCAAACCTCCAGTAGTTAGGGGAAAGGCAGGGAGAAGATTCTTACTCACAGCCCTCCAATGGAGTGACCCTTGCTGACACCTTGACTCTTGGATTTCCAGCCTCCGGAAGTGAGAGACAATACATTTCTGCCCTTTAAGTCACCTAGTGTGTAGTACTTCATTACGGCAGCCCTAGCAAACTGGTACACCCCTGCAGTAGACAATGAGACAAAGGCTCAGGGGTTCAAGATCTTATCTGTATCTTCTTCAGCAGGTATATAAACCAACAATCCCTTGCTCAGCTGCAGCAGCCATGATCAAGGTCCTCTCCCTCTCCTTCCTGTCTCCACCCCCAAGAGAATGCCTAGAACAATTTTCTGATCCCCCTTATCCTGACCCTTTAAATGAGGCCAGCCCTCCCAGGTCCCGGTCCTGGAGGCTTGTCCTGCTCTGGGATTAGCACAAAATCTCAGAGGCTCATGTCTGAACTCTGGGATCGGACAGACTGAATTCCCACCCTGTCCCTTCCACATTCCAGCTGTGTGACTTTGGAGAAATACCTCCACTCCTCCCTGCCTTCACTTTCAGGATGGTAGAGCCTGCCCCACAGGGTTGTTCTGAGGAGCACACAGCAGTGGTTGGCACATAGCTAACGCTCATTAAATATCCACTCCACAAATGGCTCAGAGAACAGTGATGGCTATGCACAATCACCCCAGATTTCTTTCCCTTGCTCTCTATCCCCCTGTCTAAGGGTATGGCTCAGCATCTCAATTTTGGAAAACGTTTGGCCTATCCCTCTGACTTTGAGGCCAGACATGGCCTTCCACACGGTTCCTCCCTTGCTTCTTCTGAGGTTTCAGTCTCTCCTCTATAAACTCCTTCTGCTGGGCCTACCCAGGGTCCCTCTTCGAAACTTCTAATGGAGACATGCTGATAAAGCAGAAATACCACCCAAACCAACTCTGGAAAGTCCTAGTCATCATGGAAAATGCCTTTAAGAAGGTGACATAAGTATTATCTGTGGAGGTGGGCCCAGAAAATAAAAAGATGAGTAGGTGCACAAGGCTGGTAGCAAATGGAATATGTAATCAATGTCAGTTACTCACTCTAAGGTTCAGAACTTCCAATGCTGTTCTGAACAAAACAAGCCTTGGATCAAAGCACTCCAATTGTCATGCTTTGGCGAGCACACTGCGTAATTGTGCATCCGCGGGCTTTGATGATTCTGCTGTCGCACCTCTTTCCAACACACGAGGGGCCTTGTCAGAACACATAACTAGCTGACTCCCACAGACAAGGAGCTGTGTGAGTCACCTTGGGGAAATCAAGACCCCAGCTGCCGAGATGAGCAATTTCAAAGCTGGGAGTTTGCAGGAGATAATTCTGAGCGCCGCAGAGAGAATTTCTGCTGCCTTCTGCTCTGTTTGTTCAGAGTGCATAAGCAGTGCCTTGAGTGAGCTTTTTCACAGCAGCAGTTCCCAGACAAGGGAGACCGTGCCTCCCAGGGGACGGTGAGGAATGTCTGCAGGCACTGGTGATTGTCACAGCTTGGGGAAGGAGTGCTACTAACGTCAAGTGGGTAGAGCCCAGGGATGCTGTGAAATGTCCCACAATGCATAGAAAAGCCCTACATGAAAAGAATCATCCAGCCTAAAATGCCAATAGTGCTTCTGGTGAGAAACCTTGTCCTATAAGGAAAGCCAGGGAGCATTCCCATGGCTCTGAAAGAGCATCATGCTCCTCATTTCCCATGATCTGGCCCCAATCAGGGTGACTACCTCATTATCTATGACTGTCATGGGTGAAGAGCAGGAACGTCTGGGGGCAAATCCTAGCTACCCCACTTATCAATTTGGGCAGGGCACTTCCTCAGTTTCCTCATCAATATGATGGGGATAGGAATAGAACTTGTCTCACAGGGTCGTTTAAGGACTAAATGAACTACATGAAATAATTCCTGTAAAGGGTTTCATTACGTGTCTAGCACTGAAGGAGTAATATTCACAATGATCTTTCTGAACCATAACTTCACTTCATACATGGTTATTTTTGAAGATACTCCTTGTTTTGGCCATGCCACCAGCTGAGAGGCCCTCCTTCCTCCCACCAGTGATCATTCTTCTCCTCCCTCAATGTTAAGTTCAAATGTTTCCTCTGGGGAACCTTTCCCAACCAGGTAAGGATAAGTCAGCCCCTGCTCTGAGCTCCCTATATATGGTTCAGTCCTGTGTCCTCCTGGTCACATACTAGTCTGCCAGTTCCTAAATGGCAGGGGACACATCCTATCACCCTACCTGCCCTGAATCAGGACACAATGAACATCCTTTAAATTAAACCTCACCCTGCCTTTATTACAGTGGTTGGCATTTCTTATGTCCCTTACCAACATGAGCATGCTGCCTTACTCATTTGGTTTGCTGCAAAAATAATGACCCGTGCAATGTGTTAGGGTCACCTTCAGTGCTGAAGGTCTCTTGGGAATTGACCATGGGTCTGAGGATCTGCAAGACTTTCTTTGAGATGGGATGGGAATGGAGAGGGTAAAGTTTTATGGTGAGAACAAATGAGGATCCCCCCATTGATATCCAGGAGACAGAAACAGTCATTACTGGTAAGCATCTCTATTGATCAGGCATCTTTTCCATGAACTCTCTTCTTGATAGTTCCCATGACGGAGGTATCAACACAATCCCCATCATCATAATTACTTGACCAATGTCACACAGCAAGGATAGCTGCTCAGATAAGTCTAGTGGTCCCAGTGTCTGCACTTCTAACCACTCTGATTGATTGTCTCCCAAATAAATCAACTGACATCATTCAAGGGAGAGTACAAAAATTTGGTGACAAAACTCTTTAGACCCACAACGGCAGTCATAAATGCCACTTGGAGGGGTTTCCAATCTTTTTGTTTCCCTGACAGCAGAAATCGGTCTTCAAAGAAAGATTAAGAGCAAATCTGTTTGGCAGAAGACATAACACATAACTGTTCTTGGTTGAAGGAGGTGGGGGAACCACTGGAGCCACAGCTACCCCTCCCCACTCCCCGTGTTCTTAAAGGGGCCCTGAGGAACCAGATGCTTCCACCTTCTCATACCGCACACGTGCAAACAGAGACTCGGGAAGAGGAAATTGTTTGCTAAAGCTAACATTGCTCAGGAACAGGAATTCCAAGTCTTCTTGCCCTGAATTCAAAGCTCTTTGAAATTCTTTTTGAAAAAGCTCTGATGCCTCATTTATGACAACGAGACTTTCTTACTGACAAGTGCAAAAATATAAAATAAAGCCAAAAAATCCCGAAGGATTACCATATCTCATCCAACATGATGCCTTCAGGTGGAAGAGGCAAACAAATTTAAGATGTTAAAATTACAGACCTCAGAATAAATGATATGTGGTATGAATCATGCTTATTCTCTTGAATTTTGGTGGAAGACACTTCTTTTGGTTTCTCCCTTTGTCCTTCAGTTCTCTAGATTCTAAGACACTTGTTCTATTTTTTTTTTATTTAAGTCTCCTTTGTAACTTGGTGAAAGTTACAGAAACTCTAGTTAAAAAAGGCACATATGATCTTTCACAATTTTGAATACAGTTTTATAATTCCATGGAACCCACACATTTTGTGTGTTCTTGATTAAGGAAAATCCCCATTTCTGGAGCTCAAATCTTTCTCACTTACTTTGTCCCTGTGGAAAGGAAGAAGAAATCTCCTATCCATCCTTGCTAACACAGAATTAGCCTCTATGCCTAAAGATGGGAATCTTTTATAAACTGCCTTAGTGAGGTATAATTGATCTAAATGTATACAATCTGATGAGTTTTGGCATATGTATACAGACACCTGTAAAACCACCACCACAATTATAATAGACATATCCATTACCTCCAAAAAATTTACTTGGATCCCTTTGCAGGGGGTTGGGAAATTTGTTTTTGTGGTAGGAACACGACATGAGATCTATGCTCTTAATAGATTTTAACGGCACAGTACAATCTCGGGATCTACCAACACGATGTTGTACAGCAGATCTCTGACACTCAGTCATGTCGTAGAACTGAATCTGTAAGCCCACTAATCAGCAACTCCCTGTGTCCCTCTCTCCCAAGTTCCTTACAACCACTGTTCTTTACTTCTAACAGTGTCACAAGTTCTATGGCTTCTAGATTTTAATTTTAATGGCCTTGAAACAACATAATTTAGTACCAAAGGTTTCAACACCCATTATAGTATCTAAACTGTGAAATCAGCATTATTAATATCTGATCCGTGATACAAAACTCAGTGAGTTTTCTTATGAATAAGGCAGTAGAAGTCACAAAGAATAAGGGAGAGACCACTCATTGAAGCATGTGTTTACTAATCTAGCACCATAATTCCAGCCTCAGGACCTCCCAAGCGACCGGAAGGAGGAAGGGAAGAGGGGAGGGTGTTGGAAATGCAAGGATAGCACTTAACTTGTGGCCCCCTGTGTGCTCCATGGCCACACGGGGTGGAGCAAAGGTGGAGACTGGAGAGTAAGACACCGGCTTTTGGTTCACACGGTGGAGGAGGACCTCGAGGAGAGGAGGATCAGGACTTCCAGGGGGCAGTGTTGGAGTGGGCCTCAAGAACGAACTATGGGGCTTCTTTTTGACCTACCAGTCCTTTTCGATTTCTTTAAGTTTTTTAGCCAGGTGTGGTATGTCATAATTCTGAGCCAGATGCATTCCAACCAGGTTGCCAAAAGCAAATCCAAGCAGGAATCGGAGCATGATGTTAGCAAAGATGTTTGGAAGAGGGCGAGAACGGTGGTCAGCATCACAATTTTAGAGACCTTGTATGCCTCATATAAGTGAGCCGCGCAGTAACTGCCCTTTGGTGGCTGGCTTTCACCTAACATAATCCCCTCAAGTTTCATTCTCATTGTCAGGATTTTGGCAGGATTTTCTCCTTCTTGAAGGCTGGGTAATATTCTATCCCATGTTTTTGCCACATTTCCTTTATCCATTTATCTGTTGATGGACATTTGGGTTGTTTCCATAGCTTGGCTGTTGTGAATAATAATGCTAAATAACCACAGAAGTACAGACATCTCTTCAGGATTCTGATTCCAATTTTTGGGGGCATATATGTCTAGAAGTGGGATTGATAGTCCTATTTTTAATTTTTTGAGAAATCTCCATACTGTTTTCTGTAGCACCTTCATCCTGTTACACTCCTGCAGAAGGCTGGAGCTTCTGGACAGAAGGACAAAGGAGTCAAATTTCTCTTCTTGCGAAGCTAACAGTTTCCCAACCCCCAATGTCATAACTAAAATTCTTCAATTTTAAAAATGAGATCCTAAAAAACTTAAAAGCAAAATGAAACAAGTGAAGCTAATTGTGTTGGGAGTTAGTGGCTCAACCACACAGGGAAAAGAATTGCGTCACCTGACTTTTAGAGTACTGTAATTTGACTATGCAGCCTTCAGAAGACAAAGACAACAACTATAAAGGCACATTAAACTCGCCAATAATTGTATTATTAGTAGTAGTAATGATACCAGTATTTTTAAACTAGAAGACCTCATTCAAGTGGTTATTAGAATTTTTCTTTGCCTGGGTTTGTGTTAGCTTTAACAGAAACAGAAAATCATGAAGGTATTCTCATGAGCTCAGGGAAAACAGAGGGTGTTCTGAATCTAGGCCAGTCTCCCCACCAGCTTTGGCTGTGGCTAGTTAATTACTCAAGATCAAACATACATTATCAGAGCAATTATTCATTTCCCCCTGAATAAAACATACTGATATCCAATGATAAAAGAATTTCTCTACCCACATAAAAAGGACTATACTCCTTTTAAGAAATAGAAACCTTGACCTCACTATTGGGTGACCAACTTGTCTTGGTTTGCCTGATATTTCCCTGTGTCCTAAAAATCCAGTGTCCCGGGACATCTCACAGTCTTGGGCAAACTGGGACAGTGTGTCACCCTACTACACAAATAATTCATTCTATCCCCTCGGCTGGCTTCTTTAAGCCCTCTATATCAGCTATGAAAGATTATGACTAAGTTCTCTGGAAAAGACAGCACCATGTTAGAGTGCCTCTTTTTCAACCACCAGATTTGACTTTTGAAAGAGGAGGCAGAAAGTTGGGGATGGGGCAGGACAAGGTCTTACTTCTTATCCCACCTTATGGTTCTTCCCTAGCACCTTAAACTCTTCATTGCTCTTAGAAGTCTTACTTGCCTTCTCAATCATGTCGTACTCCAAGACATTTTCCTGGCTATTTGAGAAGGAAGAAAAGACAAGAAAAAAAATGCCCAAACACAGATGAGTGAATTGTGTGTGAGAGTGTATTTTAAGGCGAGGCAAGACCTGGGTGGGTTGAGGTGAGGCTGGTTTCCAAAAAAAGATGGAGAGGAAACTTTCAGTGGCAAAAGGGTAATTACAGTCACATAGCTTGTCCAACAAAGTCATTCAGCTAGAGCTGGATGAAGAGAACATAACCAGCAAATAAAGCCAAGATTGGCAGGAAAGAGTAATAACGTTCAAGGAGGAGCTTGGGAAGCAGACTGTGAAGAAATTCCAGGAGTCTGGCCACCACTGCTTTGTTGTTCATTTTTAAAATATTTATTAAGGAAAATTATAAACACATGTAAGAATATAGAGAGTACTAGAAAAGCACATGTATCTCTTTCCAGTGTTATCAACAAAGATCAATTCATGATGAATCTTGTTTTATGTACATGTTCTCTACTCCCTAACCCTAGATTATTTAATTTTCCAAACATCGCACAACACTATTTTAAACACTTATAATTAAGCCACTTGTCCAAGGTGAACTTACTAGTGAGTAGCAGAACCAAGATTCAACCTGGGCCTTTTGACCTTAGAGTACGACTATGATGTAATTTGCTCCTCAGGATAGGGTATGAAGGACCAATACACAGACCCATGCAAATATTTACACCCACACACATGATCTTGGAAAGAGGAATGCCAGCATTTTATTGTGAAATGGGATTTGGAAGACTGTGAGATTTCTACACCAATCAACACTACCCATGGAGGTAGGAGACCATATGGGATTTGGAATTAGAACTCTGTCTTGACAGATGATCGATAGATATATAGATGATAGATTTATTCATCCATCCATTCATTCTTTATTCCATAAATGAGGACACTGACAGAGTTCAAGAGGTTAAATAAGTAACTTCCAAAACTCACTCATCTAGAAAATCTTCCAATTCAGAACCATGTATTCCATAGACTTTGTAATGCCTCTAGCTTGGAGGAACCAGGGTGGCAGAGGTGATGGAGGGATGGTTAATCTTAAATATGGGACCCAAGCTGTCTCCTTTCTTTTTTTTTCTTTTTTTTTTAATTTATTTATTTTTAGATAGGGAAGGGAGGGAGAAAGAGAGAAAGAGGGACACATCAATGTGCAATTGCTGGGGGCCATGGCCTGCAACCCAGGCATGTTCCCTGACTGGGAATCGAACCTGCGATGCTTTGGTTTACAGCCTGTGCTCAATCCACTGAGCTACACCAGCCAGGGCCCAAGCTGTCTCCTTTCAAGATACAGCACTAAAAGTATCCATGAGGCATCCATTCTAAGCAGAGAATTCAATCAAATTCTCCCAGACACTGTGCAAGAAATAGTCTATTTGTACTGAGTTGTCTCAACCCAGTGGGTGAGAGAGAGAAATCCCTAATGCAAGCAGGGCAGGTGCAGAAATTCATCCACCCCCTCCCTGCATCCCAGAGGGCCACTCATCACAGTCTCACTACCAGGAGGACCAAGGAGCAGAGCCTGTAGTTAGGCAGACCTCATGCCAAGAGTGTATGAACCCACATGGAGGGAAGGCAGGCTTAGCACATCAGTTCTCCAACTTGCTCCTCATTGCAGTTGGAGCCGGGAGAGCAGATGCAAAAGCATCACCAGCTGGTGTGTTTCCTGGCAGGGACAGCAGCCACAGCCTTGTCTGCCCCCAGACACATACACACACAGCAAATCAATTCCATGTGTAGCTCTCTTCCCCTTGTTTACCAGGACCCCAAGGCAGGAGAAGAGAACAAACCAATGTTTTAGAGGCCCAGCAGGACCTGGGCTCTGCCTCCGGTGAAACAGGGTTGATGGATGCCAGGCTGGTAGTCAACAGATGAAGCCTCATTATACTTGTAAATCCAAATAGGAAATACAGGAGCACTCCTGCATCACGGCTGCAGTCCCTGCTCTCGGCAGCTGCCCTCACTCATCACACTGTCTGCCTCTCAGCGGCCCTGGCACTTCTGCTGGGCTGAGAGGACGAGGAGGAAGCTCAGGGGCAAGCCAAGGGTTGCCTGTCAGGGGCGCGGCAGAGTGGGAAACACCCACTGCTCTGTGCCGTCTTGGCCTCCCATCCTGGTCCACCCCTTCATCTCCCATTGCAGGAACTGCAGCTTTTTACTGGCCCCTCCCCGGATGTCCCTGGAAAGGGCAACAAGGAAGAGAGCTGAGAGAAAGAGCAGGTTTCCATGATACTTCCAACACGATGTTCTTCCTTTTAAAAATCCATTCATGTCTCTTCTCTTTGCATCTCTTCATTCACATACCCTCTGATGTCTACTGCTGTGAGTCCTGATGCTGCGTTTGGGAAGTTCTAGAGGAAGACTCCAAATACCAAGTTAAAAGCAGAATCGCCAGGCTTCCTCCCCAATTCAACTCAGCAAGACTTTTTCAAGCACCAATCCATGTGCGAGGCACAGTGAGAGACAAGTGAACAGGAGCTCTGTGTCTTCATGAGACCAACTTCAATTCAGCACGTGCACAAGCAAGAAGAACCCTATCTATGCGTTCATCATCCACTCGCTCCACAAACACTCACTGAGCACCTCAGCTAAAAATAAAAACCCAAAGATGGAGGCATACGTCGATACGCTTTTCCTCCTTGCACAACCAAAAGGAGGACAACAACAAATTTAAAAACAAATAACAACCAGAACTGCCAGAAAATGAAACTGTATGGAAGTCTGACAACCAAGGAGTTCAAGAAGAAATATTCATCCAGACCAGTAGGAGGGGCAGCGACGAGCAGCCAAGGTGGAGAGGACTCACAGCAAGGCGGCGGCTGGAGGACCAGGACACACAAGGCTGCTGGCACATCTGGCGAGGCTGCCGCTGGGAGACAGGTGGTCCCACATCTGCATGTGGATAAACCGAGAGGAACAACTGAGGATTGAGACAGACCATGTAACCCAGGGTTCAAGAGCAGGGAAATAAAGCCTCAAAATCTCTGACTGAAAAAAACCTGTGGGGGTTGCAGTGGTGGGCGAAACTCCCAGCCTTACAGAAGAATTTGTTGGCGAGACCCACGGGGTCTTAGAACATACACAAACCCAGGTAGGTACCTGGGGAATCAGCACCAGAAGGGCCCAATTTGATTGTGGGTAGCAGGGGGAGTAACTGAAAACTGGCAAAGAGTAGAGCAAAGAGTAGGGCAATGTTCCCCGAGGGATATCATGTGATTAATTAATTATCTTTCTCTGAGGGATAGAAATATAATTAAGTAAGGAATCCAGGTCTTAAGATACATACAATCAAGTGCATCCAGTTCTTAAAATGTATAAAATGAAGTAGAGAGACAGAAACAAATAAGACCAACTTCATCGTGAGGTACATTAAGGTACAAGGAGGGAAGATAGAACTATAATTTATTGAGTAACTGCTTACTACGGGCCCTGTGCTTTGCACACATAATTAGTAAAGTATCTTTGGCAATGTGTACTGATCATCTACTCTGTTC